GCACTGTCAACGCTGCGATGCACGCCCCGCAGAAGGGCAGTGCAGCAGAAACGGGTTCCCTCTCAGTGATGGGCGCGCTGCGTAGAGCCACCTTCCCACTCTGCTCCCTCAACCTCAAAGTTCCTCTGACCTGAAGAGAGAAACGGGCTTGAGCAGGGGGCCATCAAGCCAGCTGGGGATACCCTGGGGGGCGAGCCCCACCCCTCCTTCCTGCATCGGGATCTGGGGTCCTAGCTCCTGTGGGCTCCCCAAGCACCCATCACAGAGACATTTGTAATCACCACTGTCGCCTCATACCAGTAAGGCCCCATGTTCACTCCAGAGCGCCACCTGCCTGAGTGGTCTCCTGGGAACTAGCCCGCGCTGCTGGCCCTGGTTGTCTGCTCACTGCTAGCCCTCAGGCCTTTAGGGATGGAGCTACTTTTAAGGGGACAGGCCCGAGCAGCACCCAAGGACAGAGCCCAGAGGGGAGCTGGCCCTTTGGGGCTCTGTCTGCAAACTGGCTGGCAGTGTTGCCATGGTGCTGAACAGCTTTCAGTGGTACTTCCAAATTAAGATGAGGAAGAAAGGCCTGGTTCTCTGTGTCCAAAAATTAGCCAGCTGCAGCGCTATGGATGACATCAGTCCAATCCCCTTGTGCTTGAGTCGCCATGAGTCAGGCCACGTCGGGGGCAGCTACCATCAGCAAGAGGATTTGTCCTTCGACTGAGAAGCTTTAGAGAGTCCAAGGGGCACCGATACCAGTCACGCAGGATGACAGGCACAGCGACACCAGCTCCCAGCAGACCAGTGCTCACTGGCTAGCATTCTTGTTGGTGCAACTTCAGTTAGTTCACTAGTGAGAGTGAGGCCAACAGAGGTCCTGGGCCACCTTCTCTTCTTCCTGGACCCTAGTGGCAGCCTCCCACCGAATTCTCCAGTTTCCTCTCTCCCTAGAGCCCAAGGACTTGTGGGCAACCCAAAGCCGGCCCCAGAGGGTCTCATGCCCCCTAAGGAGAGGCCATGTCGGTCCACAGCCTCTCCTTCGGGCCACAGTCTCCATCCCCTTCTTCTCAATCCAGATCCTTCTAAGCCGCTGAAAGCACAGGGAGCCCCAAGATCCCTGGCCTGGTGACTGGGGCGCCTTCCTGGGAGGGGAGCGGGGCTGGGCTGAAGCACCCCACACGGCCCTGCTCTCCCCCTGAGATACGGAACCAGGTGGGGGGGGCGCATAATATGGTAATAGTGACCCTGTTAATTGCTTCCAAATGGTCACTACGGCCATCTGACTGATTAGTCCCTTCCAGGCCCCGGCTGGACACCACCAGGCCTGGTCCAGCCCTCTACTCTGTCTCAGGACCTCTGTTCAGGGTCCCCTCCCTGCCCCATCTGGTACCTGGGACCTTCTCCTCCCGGGTCCAGGCCCCACACCTCCAACCCTACCCTGCAGAGGGGGTGTGGGAGAGGCGCGGCAGAGGGCATGCCCTGTGATGTGGTCACAGCCGTGCGGGGGTGACTGTCAGATGTGGTGCTGGCTCCAGGCCCCAAACTCGCTCTAATTATGCAGCCAAGAGCAGCAGAGGAGGCCCAAGGAGCCTCCCTGGTCGGGTGGGGGAGGCCTGGCCTGCAGGGCTGTGGCTGGGCCCAGGAAGACCCCAAACTCTAGGCATACCCCCACTTTCCAGATGCAAAATGGAGGCTCAGAGAGATCCAGGGACTTGCCCGGGGTGAGGTGAGGTGACTGGGGCCCACATCTGTGTGTCTCTGCTTGGGAGCAGCAGCTCTTCGTCCCTGGGGAGCTGCAGGCCAGGGCCGGAGCTGGGTATGAAGGAGACAAGGCCCCTATCAGTCCCCACCTCTGCCCCCGTTTCTCGCCAAGTTTAGAAACCACAGCACAACACGGGCATCCTGCCAGCCAGTCCCCAGGCCCAGTATGGGGTGGTATGCTGCTTGATTAGTGGGGCCTCTGGGTAGACCACCTCCACTCCCTCACCAATGAGGTGGGGAAGTCAAGACCAGATGGAGGCCCTGCCCAGGGTCAGCCAGTGTATCAGGAACCCACTAGGCATCCTTTCAGCCAGCTCCAGCCTCAACTCAGCCAAGCGTCCAGCCCGACAGGAGCCTGCCGATAGGGTTGGGGCATGGCTCCACTTGAGAGTACTCCTGGCTGGGACCCTGGTAGGAGCCTCCTGGGGGCCAAGGGTCCCAGGACCATGGGCTGGAGTGGGATGAGGTCTGCTGTCACTGGGTGGGGACACTCAAGACACTCTCTGTCCCAGGATAGGAGCTCTGGTGGCGTAGTGCCTAAGGCACTTGACTGCCAACCAGAAGGCTAGCAGTTCAAACCCACCAGCCACTCCTCAGAAGGAAGGTTGGGCAATCTACTTCCGTAGTGATACCACCTCGGAATCCCAAGGAGGGGTCACTATGAGTTGGGTCAGACTTGACGACACATAACAACAACCACAGCTGAACATAGAGGGGAGGGATGTCCCCCCTGAGAACACTAGCAAAACTCTGGGCTGGGGATTCCTGCCAGAACCCTCACAGGATCATGTGGGCTTCCAGAGGGGGGAGCCGGTGAATGAGGCCGGGGTGTCTCACCCCTGGGGGGGTTGGAGGAGCCACTCAACTGAGTCTCTTTCCCCATTTATTTATTTTTTAAATTTAAAGTTTCCTTGAGATAGACTTCACATACCATCCACTTCACCCCTTTACAGATACAAGTCAATGGTTTTAATATATTCGCAGACATGTCCGACCAACACCATAGTCAACGTCCTCATCAGTTCTAAGGAGCCCTGGCGGGGCAACGGTTAACCACGTAGATGCTAACCGAAAGGTTCGTGGTTCAAACCACCAGCTGCTCTGTGGGAGAGAAAATCTGATGATGTGCACCTACAAAGATTTCAGCCTAGGAAACCCTATAGGACAGTCCTGTTCTTTCTTACTGGACTGCCATGAGTTGACATTGATCTGACAGCACTGAACAACATTAGCCCTTATCTCTTACACTTCTCCCTAAAACCAACCCCCAAAAAACAAACAAACAAAACCCTTCTTGCCATCAAGTGGATTCGGATTCAGGGTGAACCTACAGGACAGAGCAGAACAGTCCCATCCTTATCCACTAAGCCCTAAACCAAACCAAACTCTGCCATCGAGTCAGTTCTGACTCAGAGTAACCCCCACTGGATTTCCAAGGCTACAAATCTTTATGGAAGCAGACTGCTTAATCTTTTTTTCTGTGTAGTGGCCAGTGGGTTTGAACAGCCGACCTTCCAGCAGTGCTTTAACCACTACACTATGCCACTATACTACCAGGGCTCCTTGCACTAAGCTCTGTTGTTGCTGTTGTTATTATGTGCTGTCAAGTCAGACCCAACTCATAGCGACCCCTCCTTGGGTTTCCAAGGCAGTATCACTATGTAAGTAGATTGCTCCATCTTCCTTCCAAGGAGTGGCTGGTGGGTTTGAATGCCAGCCTTCTGGTTAGCAGTCAAGTGCTCTAGGCACTATGCTACCAGAGCTCCCTGCACTAAGCCCTAGGCAGCCACTAATGTACTCTCTGTCTCTGTGGATGTGCCCGCCCTGGGCATTTCTCATCATACACTCTGTAGTCTTCTGTGATTGGCGTCTTTGACGAGCATCGTGTTTTCCAGCCTCACCCATGTCACAGCATGGAGCAGAACTCAACTTCTGGCTTACGGCTGAGTAATACTGAGCAATCCTCCACTGTGTGGATGGACACATACCACGTTTATCCACTCATCCGTTCATGAGCATTTGGACTATTTCCACATTTTGGAAATAAGAGATGCTCCAAGCTGAGTCTTCAAAGGGAGGACAGGGTGGACATCACTCTAGGCAGTGGGCAGTGCTGTTTTCTTCTCTCCCCATGAGACTGAGGGCCCCTACTGGCCGTCTGTCCCCTC